GCGCTTATTCTACTGAGCTATCTCCCCAGGTGAGAAAGAAAAACAAAAAAACTTTTCCTGTATTAAAAAAGGATGAGGTAAAATCAATTGTTTTCAGTAAAAGAACAAAAAGAGGCAAACTCTTATTATATATTTGAAGGAATACTCTTTATGGAACTTCAGTTTCCACCAGGCCTTCTCCAGCTGTCCAAAGAGAAGAACAGTTACAGCTATGGCTGTGACAGGAAAATCTGGTGAATGTGTGTGTTAGAAACATTTATTACAGTAAAAGATGTGTCGCCATGAACCCTGCTCAGAATTTGCACCCTCACTTCGAACACATGCACCCCGGCATCCTTGCTGTGCTCAGGCAGCCCCGGGAGCCTTCTGTGCTTTTAGTAGCACTGGTGTAGCTGCCCCAAAGACCTGAATCGATTCCAAATATTTACCTTTTGTGGTCATTTTGACTTTGGGAATGAGCCAGAAGTTGATGGTGCCAGATCCAGCAGAGAGGTGGCTGACAACACACCCTGATGTCTTCATTTGATAGAAAATACTGCGCCAGAAGCCCAGTGTGACAGGGAGCGCGGTCATGATGGGGGTGGAGCAGCCCTTTTCTTAGGACTACTTTTCTTCTTCCTTCTCCTTCTTGTTTTTGATTTTCTGAGACAGGATCTCACTGAGTAGACCGGACTGGCCTTGAACACACTGTGGAGCCCAGGCTGGCCTCACATTCTCAGTTAGTTTGAGACCAGCGATCCTCCTGCCTCAGCCTCCTGAAGGCTGGGACTATAGGCATGTACCACCAAGCCCAGCCCTCTCGGGCCATTTTCTATGCACACAGCCCTTATATATTTGGAGTTCACTATAGCATTCCTGGGTACCAACTCAGCTTGCATGATTCCATCAAGGTCAAAAATCCCAATCAACAGCACCTTTGCTGGTGGATCCTGACAGCCACATTTCTTCCGCACGAGAACAGGGTGATTGCCATTGAGTACCCCTAACTGCAGGCTCAGGATCACAACCAGAGGCCCAGGCTTTATCTCCTGGGATGGCATTTCATAAAAAGCTGGACTCTGATGTGGCAGGATTATACAACGGCCATAAAATGTGTTACCTGTGAACCAGAACTCCTGGCACATTTCAAGACACATCTTCTCTCAAGCTTAGCTCATGACCACCAACTGCTCTGAACAAGCTGAACTCTGCACAATGGGACTCAGATCCCACATGCCGCTTCCAGTACTGAAGATCCCTGACTTCTGGTTGGGTGGTACCCATGAGCGGTGGTCACCTTATTCTTTTTTTTTTTATAATTATTTATTTATACATTTATTTATTGTGTGTGTGGCCAGCTCAGCCCACCAGGGGGCGGGCGGGCTGGCATGTGGTGCTGGGGGATTGAACCGCGGTCCTGTGCTTTGGCAAGCTTGCTCCAAGTAGGTGCTTTAGACCACTGAGCCATCTCTCCAGCCCCTGGTCACCTTATTCTTTAAGTCACACCTCACATTGCTTTTATAAGACACAGGACACCTGTCACAGCAGTGTCAAGTGCTTTAGCAGTTTCTAAAAACGGACTCTGCATGGCTACCAGGCATGAACATTTCCTCGTGGGCAGCGCTTTCTAGGAATCATTCTGTGACACCATTCCCTTGGCTTTCCATTCCCAGCTCTGCCATAGGTGGCCTCTGTCCTGCTTCTAAGGTCTAATGAGCCCGGAATGCTGTGGCCTGAGGTAGGCCGCCATTGCTTTGGCTTGAGACTATGTGGTTAAGACAAGTCTAGGTGACAGCAGCTTCCTGCTGGCTTGCCTGGTGCCCTAAGGGAAATGAATGTAAGTGACAACTGAGGACTCTGAGTCCCCAGAGTGCCAAGAATGTCTCAGCCGCAAATGTAGCTTCACTTTTTAGCCTCCTGTGTTCAGCACAACCACCTACAGGTGACACCTGTGCAAAGTGACACCTTTCAGGCCACAGGCAGTGTCCTCAGGAGATGGTCAGAAGCAACACATACATGTGCCGACCACGAATGTACAATTACATGCCACAAACACGTCCTGAGAAAAGATGACCTTTAATGGTAAAAACGTTCTCACCCTAAGCTGCCACTCCACCAAGTCAGCTCCTGTGATCATCTCAGTGACAGGGTGTTCTACTTGTAGTCTTGTATTCATCTCCATGAAGTAAAAATTGTGCTGTGAGTCCATAATAAACTCCACCGTGCCTGAGAGAGAAAACACAAAGGTCACACGTCCACAGTGTGTGATCGGCAGCCAGTCAAGGACCCCCTGAGAGGTAGCTCGGGCGGCACTTGGGATACCAGACTGCAATTCAGAAGAAAATGAGTTGGGCGGCAGCATGTGCCTATAATCCCAGTGTGGCAAGAGGCTGAGGCGGGAAGAGCATGAACTTAGGGATAGCCTGTGCTACTTAGCAAGCCTCTGCCTCAAAAAATAAACAATAACTACCAATCAATCCAATTTTAAAAGGGAGGGCAAGACTGGTAAAGACACTTCACAAAGAAGATATGCAGGTGGCAGGTGGGACGCATGGACAGTGTTTAATATCACATGTCATTAGGGAAGTACATGCTAAAACAACAGTAAGGCAGTGAGTCAAAACTCCGAGCCCTGACAGCTCTGACTGCCAGGGTCAGGTCACCTCAGTGCATTGCCACACAGCAGAATGCAGTGGCACAGTCTCTTTGGAAGACACTTTGGCAATTTCTTCTGGAAGTAAACATACCCCTACTATGTGATCTGACAATCCTGCTCCTTGGAATTTACCCAAATGAATTAAAAGAAAATCATGTCCACATAAAATTCTTCCTGTGATGCCAGGCGTGGTGATGCATGCCTGTAATCCCAGCACTCAGGAGGCTGAGGCAGGAGGAGTGTTGCAAATTTGAGACCAGACTGGGCTACAAAGAGAGTTCAAGGCCAGCCTGAGCTGCACAGCAAGACCCTGTCTCAAAAAGACAAAAATGAAGAAGCAAAAAAAAAAAAAAAAAAAAAAAAAAACCCGGGAGGCAGCCAGAATGTCTTTCAGTAGAATTGGACACCTAAGCTCCAGCATGGACAGAAGATGGAACACTGCTTAGCGCAAAACAGAAACGAACTGGGAAGCTGTGAAGAGACGTGGAGGAACCTGAAATCCTCATTAGTAAGAGGGAGAGGTCCATCTGGAATGGTGACATGCCATATGATCACACTATGTACACTTTAAGAAGGCAAACAGTGGAGGCACCAGAGAGATCAGTTGCCAGGGCTTAGGGGGCTGAGCACGATGAGTAGACAAGCAAAGAAGATGCTGAGGGCGGGAAGCTATATTCTGCGAGATACTGCAGCATGGTAGCACACTCCTGTAACCCCAGGAGCCGTGAAGCTGAGGCAGGAGGAGCGCTGAAAGTCTGAAGCCAGCCTGGGCTACACAGTGAGCTCAAGGCCAGCCTGGATACACAGAAAGATCTTCCAAGTCACTGACTTAAAAGGTATATGTCTCGCCTACCTTCTGAAACTAAAAACAAATTCATTGGTTTGGCCTATTCAAAACACATTTTAACATACCTGCTCCAACATAATTCACAGCTTTAGCAGCTCTGACAGCAGCCTCTCCAAGCTTTCTTCTTACTTCAGGTTTGATACCAGGCTACAAAAAATGATTTCATCTATATTTTTATGACTATCTTGTCTTACCAGAAGTTTCTATCAAAATACAGTAATGTTATATTTTATGTATCAAAAAATTGCAATAAAAAGGTAGGGTAGCTGGGCATGGTGGTACACTCCTGTAATCCCAGCGCTCGGGAGGCTGAGACAGGAGGACTGAATAACTACATGAATAACTGTAACGATGTGAAAACTTTTAATGGTTCCTATTTTGCTTCAAGATGATAGACAAAAATGAGTCCAGCACAAATGATTTCTCGGGTTACAGGGAAACCTGGGGATTCCAAGTTAATACGTAAGATTCATAAAAAGAAATACATAAAGCAAAGTTTAATTTATCACTTAAAATAGTGTTTTACAAACACATGAATGTAATCACTGCTTGAAAACAGGCTTCACGGTAATTACTGGCATGCGCGTCAAATGGCATGCTATGCTCTACAGTGATAATTGCATTTTGAATACGATGCAGGAACTACAAAGTGATGCGTTAAAAACCTCAGAGTCCAGATATTTTTGGAAATACATACTGTAAGAATAAAAACCATGTATCTAACCCATGGTAGTGGCAACTGAAAGAAATATAAATCCACTCTGGAGGTGGAGGTAGGAGGATCGCAGGGAGTTCAAGTCCAGCCTGAACTACACAGCGAGACCCTGTCTCAAAAAAAGAAAGAAATATAAAGCAAAAGAGGAGGGGCCAGGGAGATGGCTCAGTAGGATAAGCGCTTGACTGGCAAATGCAAGGATCTGAGTTCAATCCCCGGTTCTGCAAAATAAATAAATAAATAAATAAATAAACAAACAAACAAACCAAAAGAGGTTGTCCATGACCCAGATAACAACCTAAACCAACTGAAAGGAAATCTCAAAGAAATATTAACCATTAATGTTAGGGGGCAAAAATGAGAGGGACCCTTTTTCCTCCCCAATATACGCACTAACGTGAGTAAATGACTAAAGTATTTTAGAAGCATCTGAAACAGTCAATAAGACAAGAATCTTAATTCTACTAGTTCATTGAAAGAAGCAGTTAATATGTGTGTGTGTGTGTGTGTGTGTAATCAATTTTGCATGCCTGTATCTGGTAATCTGAGCAACTACTTTGAAGATAACAAGATGCACTATAAGAACCATTGTTGTTAATTTATCAACTTTTGAAACTCGGTATCGTTTTTTTTTCCCTCTTTAAAATTAATTTTTATTTTTCCAAATGGACTTTTTTCGTCTTATTTTTACTATTTTCTTTTTTGGTACTGGGAATCCAACTCTGGGCCTCGCGCTTGCTAGGCAGAAAATTAATTTTTAAAAATACACCTAGTTAACAGCGCACCCGGTTCCATTCCTGCAATGAATTCCAGCTCATTACAATCAAAGACGTGCGGCGGTGAGGGTGGGGGGCTGAGCGCTGCGGGGGGCCCGGGAGGGCTGAGCCCCAGCAAGCCAGCGAGCGAGGCGAGCGAGGCGGCAGCGAACGCCGCCCAGCAGGACGCGCAGCAGCTCAGGGCAAGGGCCCCTGCCGGGGCCTTACCGCCGGGGCCTCCTCGATGATCTTCTGATGCCGCCTCTGCACGCTGCAGTCCCGCTCGAACAGGTACACCGCGTTGCCATGGTGATCGCCAAACACCTGGACTTCCACGTGCCTGTTGAGAAGCAAACGTGTGCATGCATGTTGATCTCCGTGGCACGGCTGAGAAATGGCACACACACGCGTGCGGCCGAAAGCGTTGCTATCCCTGCCCAGGAGACCGCCATCTCTCTTTTTTTGAAAGTAAGATCTGATATTTTGACATCAAAATAGATGTTATGGATGTAGCAAGGGATCTACAATCTAAAAAAAAAAAAAAAAACCACCTTAGTGAAAAAGTTTATGTTTATGTGATAACCAACCATGAGTGCATCAGGGAGGCTGAGGCAGGAAAACCACAAATTCGAGCCCAGCCTGGGCAATTTCACATCTTCCAAAGACTGTCACAAAAATTTTTTTTTAAAAAAGAAAGAAGAACGGGATATGTGCTTCACTGTAAAAGTCCTGGGTTTAACGCCTATCAATTAATTAATTAATTAATTCACGAACTGTAGCATATTTTTGTTTGAGGTTGGGTTTATATTTCTTTTTTAAAGTTTTTTGTAGTCATATTTCATATAATCTCAAAAATTCAATAAAAACTTTCCATGACTAGCTTTCCTCTCTCTCTCTCTCTCTCTCTCTCTCTCTCTCTCTCTCTCTCTTTCTCTCTCTGTTTACACTGAAGTCGACCTCACATATTCACCACTATAACACAGAAATGAGTGACTGGCAAATTTTTTTTTTCCTGTTGCCTGGTTTAGGCTGCCATTTGTAGTCCTCCTGCCTCAACCTTCTAGAGGGCTGGGATTACAAGTCTGTGCCTTTGTCCCTGGTTTTACTGATTTCTTTAAAAATAAAACTTAAAAAAATAATAAAAATAAAACTTTCAAACACAGATGACATTTCAAAAAAAGCCTTAGTTGAGTGAAATAAATCAGACATACAATATCCTAACATTAAATACCACATGGTTGCTGTTAGATGAGAAGCTCAGTGTAAAAACAAAGAGCAAACTAAAAGGTAGATGATAGGAAGCAGAGAGATGGACCGTTCTCAAAGAGGGGTGGGGGGTGGGGGGTCAAGAAAAGGAATAAAGAATCAGGGCTGGCAAGCTAGCTCAGCGGACTAAGTGCCCGCTTTGGCAGGTGCAGGGACAGGGGTTTGATCCCTGGTCCCTCATGCCATGCTGGCCCTGCCCCCAGGGCGTGCTGAGCGGGGGACCGCGCAGAGGAGGCTGAAAACAGGAGGATCACTACAAGTTCAAGCTGCGTAGTGAGACCCGGGAGGCGGGGGCGGGGTGGGGCGGGGGCGGTGCAGAGAAGAAGGAAATGGATGGAAAGAGGAGGAAGGGGATAAAAAGAAGAACTAGGGATGTGCTGCGCATACACACTGACTGCACACAAGGGTGGAAGCATTATGTACTGCAGAGAGATTAAAAAGCAAAACATGGCAGATCCTGAAGCAACCCGAGCGCAGGCCTGGCGTGTGAGTGAGACGACCCAGGACCCCGCTGATCCTGAACTAACCCAAAGCCCAGGCCCAGTGTGTGAGTGAGACCTCCCAGGGCCCGCAGATCCTGAATCGACCCAGAGCGCAGGCCTGGCGTGTGAGTGAGACCGCCCCAGGACGCGGATCCTCATTTGACCCAGAGTGCAGGCCCAGCATGGAACCCTTCAGCAGAACTCCCTGCAAAGAGGCTAGAGGCAAGACCCACCCAGCTGATTCAGGAGCAGAACATCTTGCCAGAGAGACACAAAGGGTTC